AACCCAGACTGTGTGAGAGGAAGGAAGGACTTCTGTTCTAATCCTGTAAAAACGGCATTTACATGAAGGTTTACTGTGGATTACAACAATCTGCAAACCTCTCCATGACCCTGGTCCATCAGGTCTCTATGACCCTGGTCAATCAGGACACCATGACCCTGGTCCATCAGGTCACCATGACCCTGGTCCATCAGGTCACCATGGTCCTGGTCCGTCAGGTCACCATGATCCTGGTCCATCAGGTCACCATGGTCCTGGTCTATCAGGTCTCCATAACCCTGGTCCGTCAGGTCACTATGGTCCTGGTCTGTCAGGTCACCCTGACCCTGGTCCATCAGGTCTCCATGATCCTGGTTCATTAGGACTCCATGACCCTGCTCCATCAGTTCTCTTCAGGTCCATCACCACAACCCTGGTCTATCAGGTCTCTTTAGGTCCATCTAACCTGGACTTTCTGTTCGTTCTTCAGGACCAAACTAGTCCAACTTCTTCAGGTTGGATAGTCCTGCTTGTGTCCAACAGGCTTTAAATCAAAGCAGAGATTCTCTGTTGGACTTTGACTGGACCAGTCCAGGACCTTTAACATGTTCTCTTCAAACCAGAGGAGTGTCCTTCAGCAGGGGTTTAGGGTCTTTTTTCCTGCTGGAAGCTGGACCTCCAGTTCTGTGAGCTCTCATAGACAGACCCTGTTAGATCTATCAGGGGGGTCTTTGGTCTCCTGGTTGTTTCTTAGATTAAAGTCTTCCTCTCCTGCAGTGGGGTTTGATCCGCTGTGATGACATCTTTCCATTTCCTAATTTGTTGGAGCTCTGTGGAACTTTATGTTCTGGTATCTTGTTTAGAACTCCTCTCTGATCTTTGACCTGTGTGGATGGTTCCTCRCTCTGCCTCTCGCTTGGTAGTTGCTCGTAAAGTTGATGATTTTTATTTGTTTAGTTGCTATCAGCTACAGATTGTGGCTCTAGAAGCAGAAAAACATAGCATCAGCTTGTGTTGGTAAAAGAAGAAACCATGGTTCCTGATGTTCTTAGAATAAAGATGGACCTTTAATATTGGTATTTAGATATATTCATCTCTTTTTACAAACAGTGAAGACATAACAAATAAATTTTAACTTTAAAGTCTTATTTTAGTCTTTTTAAACTTGGAAAACTTATAAAAAAAGACTAAAAAACTTAAAGACTACTTTGCTCTATTTTTTATGTGCTTTGTCGTCCTCCACAGAGAAACTTCAAAGTTTTGCTGCTTTTATCTTGGCAGCTCGGGTCATTCACTCTGATATGATTACAGATTTAATTTAATGCATGTTTTTAATTAAAAAAATCTTTAAGCTATAACCTGGACTGTTTAATTCTTTGAATCATTCTAATAAAAAACAGGAAGCATGTTCTGCCTGCTTTAATGTATATCTTTATGTGCATATATATTCCAGTATATATGTATCTTTATATGTGTGTTTGTAATGTACTGGCTGAAGGTCTTGCACTGAATGGCATGCTGCAGCCACGTAGCCTTTCTTTGCACCATTGGAAGCTTTTGAYTGTGTAAAGTTTTAAAACCATCACGTTAGTCTCTGTATTCTTCACATATTTGTAAACGACTTTTTCACATTAAATCGGACCAACACTTACAGAATGGAAAGGTAAGGCAAGAATTTTACAACTCCTCCAACCTGCTCTGAAACTCTAACTTTCTTCATTTTGCTCATTTCTCCTGATTGACGTACAGTTTACATAGTTACTAGCTTAATGGGAAACTGAGTGTTAATGGTTGTGTGGTAGACATTATAATATTGTGCGTCCATCGTCATGTGGATCTGATTGACAATCTGTGTCCACTGTACGTCTGTTTTTTTTTATTTTTGTTATGTTTGTTTGTTTATTCCTTCTGATAAAAACAAGATATTTTTGTGTGTGTAACCTATAATGGGCATGAAAATGGTGTGTCTTTAAAGGTTCAACATGGATGCTAAGTTTTAATTTACACATTTTTTGAAAGATTTCTTTTCTTCTGAGGTTTTTTTTTCTTCGTATTTTCTTTGTTAGTTTGCTGACAGCTCATTGTTGATGCTTGATGTGACTGCTGCATGCTGGGAAGAGGAAAGTTGGTACAGGTCAAAGTAAAAACACTTACAGGTCAATCAGCTGTTTCACTTCTCTTCTTCTCTTTGTCTTTTTTGTTTTTATTTCACATCCGTGTTCCAGAGCGGATTCACTCCTCTGCATATCGCCGCCCACTACGGGAACGTCAACGTGGCCACGCTCCTGCTTAACCGCGGGGCGGCCGTTGATTTCACAGCAAGGGTAAGAAATTAAACTAGTGATAAATGTATGGATCCATTCAGTCACAGCAAGTAGAACAAAGTCATTTGAGGAGTGTAATGATTGGTGGCTTAGAGGAAGGAAAGTATAGGTTCTGGCTGGCTGGGYAAGCTCTGTAACTACACCACATTCCAGGACTCCCCTGGTCCATCACAGCCACAGACATATTTGTATGGAATGAGCACCACTACCTCATGCTTGTGGATTTTGTTTCTGGATGGTTTGAAGTAGATAAACTTAAAAAACTAACATCAGCTTCACTGATAAAAAAAAACTCAAATGCCACTTCTGAGTACATGGGATGACACAGAAACTGGACCCGGATAATGGCAACCAGTTCATGAGCCAAACCCTCTGTGACTGTGTTACATTCTGGGGTTTTTGAACATGTCACAAGCAGCCCTGTGTTTCCTTTGTCAAATGGGCTCAGTGAAAGAGCTATCCAGAGTGCTAGAAGACTTCTTGAATAAACAAAGAGATGAGGCAGATTTCTACTACACCCAAGRAACACACCACGGGATGACATTACTGGATCACCAGAGACTGCAAGATGAACACCGTCAACCTTTTCTGTTAAAGCCAAAAGCAAAAATAGAAACATTCATCAAAACCCAACTCGCCAAAAAGCGTAAAGCCCCCAAAACAGCACTTACGACAAGTGTAGCACGCCGCTCAGTCCAGTCCGTTGACACAAAACCAAATGGTGAGGTTACAAAGAGGACCCAACAAGATTATAGTTGTATATAAGATGTGTGCAGTGCCTCTATGTTACGTAGTGTAGTTGTATGGAAAATACACAACACTTTTAGTCTGTAACTGAAGACTTCACTACAAAATCTGACGAACTGAGCATATCTCAAAACACGGAGAAATATAAACCTTACCAAAAACAAACCAACAAACATGAAAAAAAAACCCACACTGAACATCTAGGACCTGGCAAGAAACAGTGCAAACAACAGACAGACGGCAAAGAGACTTTGAATCAAATAAACACTCCTGACAAATGCTTGGTACACTCTGACAACTTCACCAGATACTTGTCTGGTCCCACCGTGTGGTGCTGAGCTCAGGTTCCTCATGTGTCTGCTGATCATACTCGGATGTTTCTACCTTGGAGTTTCTCTAAATAGTAAGATCCTATAGCTAAAAGTAACAGAACAAAATAAGCCATGGGATCCAGGGACTTGTTTGTATACCTCTCAGACAGGATTGTGTCAAGGTACAGATCTGGGGGAAAAYACTAAAAACTTTCTGCAGCTTTGAAGATCCCAGTGAGCTCAGAGGCCTCAATCATCTATAAAGAGAGTATATTTGGAACCACCAGGGGTCTCATTTATAAAGGATTGCGTGGAAACCACACTAAAAGTGAACGTACGGCCAAAAGGCGGAAATGGCGTACGCCAAAAAAAATTCAGATTTATAAAACCATGCGTACGCACGTTTCTGCGCATCTTTCATTTATAAATCACAGCCGCACGCCAGAGTTTGCGCACGAGGTCCCGCCTCAGGTTCTACCCTCTACACGCCCACACTCAACCATAAACAGTCAATGTAAAGTACCTCATGAATGTTAAGATGTATTTAAATCAGTCAGCTGATCAATGCCAACAAAAGTGATTGGTTCAGACACGCTGTGTCATGAGTCTGGAGGATGACAGGTGCTGACTGACAGCTGCTCACGTGAACAGAATGTCTGTAATTGACACAGATTTTCCCTCATTTTGCTTTATAGTAATCTAATGATTTTTATAAAAAAATAAAAATAAAAAAACCTCAGCTTCAAATTAATTTTCCATCAGAACCAATAGGACGATAAAAAGAATAAAAATTAAGTTAAATAAGTCAGGTAAAATTAGGAGTAAGTCCCCCGCTCTTCTCCTCGTCCTCTCCCCCTCCTCCCTGCTCTGTTACCCGCGGAAGACCCCCGCCCCGCGCGCGCGCGCTCGCACGCACACACACACGCACGCATCCCCCCCCCCGCGCGCGTGACAAAAACGGACTGGATACACGCTCTGCGCGTGTGTCCAAAGCTTTTGCTGTCCTGCTGTTCTTATCAGTGAGGGGTCTGTGGGTCGGGGTTGTCTGAAGAGGAAGCAGATGAATGGAGTTGCGCACGGGAACTTTTATTTAAGTCTGATTCTGAAGGTAAATTAAATATCTGACAGTGATCATTACACAGTGTGGCTCTAATTCCTCACTTCACCATCTGTGTCGCAGTTTCACGTCTCCAAAATGAGCGTACGCATGGGTCAAAGCTGGCGTGAGGCACCGCACATTTTCACGTCAAGTTTGGATTTTATAAATCACAACCTTGGCGTAAAAAGTGGCGTACGCAAGTTTCTGGGCTCAAATTGTGCGTACGCCAGTTTTATAAATCCGACCCCAGGACTCTTCTAAGAACTGTCTGCCTGGCCAGGCTGAGAGATCAGAGCAGAAGGACCTTAGAACTGGATGGTGACTAGGTTTGGGCATCATTTGAATTTGAATGATTCCGGTTCCTCTTTTGGATTCCACGGTTCCCATTGATTCCCAATTTCAATTCCTTTTAGAAGCAGGGTCAAAAACGTTTACATGGTTTTAATGAGGTAGCTAACCAAGCACAATTATCTTACTGCACCTGCAGATTATTTCACCTGATTTGACAATTTGAATCTGATCACCAATTTAAATTGGTTTTCAGCAGCTCACCTGGGTTTTTTCATTGATGGTGTTGGGCGGCTTCTTCTTTCAGATGGGCTGGGTATTGAAACTAGGTATCGAAATTTAAAAGTACGAACGATTCTGGGAGAATTGTAACATTAGTCCCAGTTACAATCAATACTCGAGCCTTGATGCCCAACCCTAATGGTGACTCTGGTAGAGCTCCATGGTCTGTGGAGAGAGGAAAACCTTCCGGAAGGACCATTTCTGCAGCAGTCCTTCACTCAGATCTGTATGGTGGAAGGCTGCAGAAATGTTTTTTCTTCTTTGATTTGAAACCAACTCAAACTCTTTCAAGACCTCCAAATTCTGAAAATTTTCTATGAGAAGTTCACTGGAAGCCTGACATCTGTAAAAACAAATATGAACACTTTTTGGAAATCTGAAACTTTTAATCTTTTGTTACCTTCTTGTTGTTTTGATTGTTAGAACTTGTCATTTGTCAGTGTGTTAAAACACATGGACAGAAGGAGGATGTGTGAAGATTTATAAACTCCTCTTCAGTTCTCAAACAGCTGAATCATCAGTCATTACTGCTCTGACTTATGGTCCAGTCTTTTCATGGGTAAATCTTTTCAGATTTGCTATTTTTATTTCCCTGAACAAAGAGACTAAATTTAGCATCACAAACCTTTGAGCTCTGTAACAAAAACAGTCTCTCTATTGTCACTGCTGAGATGCTAGCTGAAAACAGTTTTTTTCTTTCTAAATATGCAATTCATTTGCTTCCTCCTCCATTTCTAAGTCAGTTGAATTAAGTCCGGACACATTGATCATGTCACCTACGTGTGTTGTGTCTTGTCTGCAGAACGGCATCACCCCTCTACATGTGGCGGCTAAACGAGGCAACACCAACATGGTTCGCCTGCTGCTGGATCGAGGCTCTCAGATTGATGCTAAAACACGGGTTTGTACCACAAAGACATGATCTCCAGGGACTATCCCGACTCTTGACTCTTGTGCTCAGGTTTATACAGAAACACGCAGCATCATGTGACCTGCTGTAAATTTACTGCAGCCTGACATCAGCCAGATGCATGTAGCCTCACTCTGTGTATCATTAGCTGCTAGTTGCTTGAATAAAACCCAGGAAGCAGGAGAGTCATGTTATTAACTTCACCTTCAGTGGAACTGAGCTGATAAACTGCTCAGCTGATGGTCTGGTCTACCATTAGGCAGCAGTAATATGTCCCTGTGTGATGTGCTGTGTAGGATGGTCTGACCCCACTTCACTGTGCAGCCCGGAGTGGACATGAGACGGCTGTGGAGCTGCTGCTGGACCGAGGAGCCCCTTTACTGGCCAGAACTAAGGTGGGTCAAAGGTCAAAGTGTGCTCAGATAACGTGGTCACTACAGACTTAGATCATCCTAACAAATCACTAAATATTTCATAAAATAACTTCACAAAATGTGGAAATGATAAACAATACAGAAAGGTAGGTTAAAGAGAAGCTTCTGAACAATCTGTTATAATGTTACATTAAAACCYAACAGACAGAAACTATTACAMTCATTAATTCAGAGTTACCACTGGTATCTTTATGCCTGTGTGTGTGGACAAATTTTAGCTACATAATGGGGACCATTTTCCAGAAAAACACAGCGTTGTGTGGACCCAATACCATGGTCCCCACATGTACGAATGCTGATTTTGGGCTGGGAGATAGGTTTATGACCAAGGTTTGATCTGAGTTTATTCTAAATTTAGGGTCAGGTATGTAGTTTAGGGTAAAGGGTCAGGTTATGGGAGTATTCACTCAGAGGTTCTCACCACTCGATGGCTCCGCAGAGTTGGTAAATCCCTTAGGAAGCGCACTCTCGCTCACCATCAGGTCCAGTCTTGGGACAGGGTTAGGCTATAGAAATGACTGGAAAATGAATGGATGTTAATGCAAAGTCCCCACAGGGATAGATATAACACATTGGGTGTCTGTGATTGTCTTGTAGCAAAATGATCTCATTGACTGAATTTTGATGAAACGTTTGGAAAATAATTGGTTGTACATCTACAAGCATTCAACCTTTGGACACAATCTGATTCAAGATGGCCGACCACAGATGAGCAAACTTTGAAAACACAAAAATGACTTTGAGTGTATGCTACAAATATTGAGCTAAAGTTTGAACAAAGCCAGACTGTGTCCCTGATCCATAAACCTGCCTCACATTTAGACTATAACATATTTCTGGACTTTCTATCCTCGCTGCTGTTGAATCTAAATGGACTTCTCTTCCAGAATGGTCTGTCCCCGCTGCACATGGCAGCACAAGGTGACCACGTCGAATGCGTCAAACACCTTTTGCAGCACAAGGCTCCTGTTGATGATGTAACGTTGGACTACCTGACTGCACTGCATGTGGCAGCTCACTGTGGTCACTACAGAGTCACCAAACTCTTGCTGGATAAGAGGGCAAACCCCAACGCCAGGGCGCTGGTAGGTTGTCAGGATGTGAAGAAAACATCTGTCAGGGTTCAAACACATTAGTTTAAAAGTTTCAAACTGTTTAACATATAAAACGCACTTTAATAAATCTTACTGTAAATGTGCCAGAAGTAGCCAAAGGGCTACGTAGTTAAAAGCTGAATTGATTGCTAAAGCTAAAATACATCTGTATTTCTAAAGTAAAATTATCAAAACACTAACCAAAAATAGCTACATTTAGATAAAAACTAAAACTTTAAACAGAAAACCAACAGATGTCTGACTCAGAAATCATCTCAAATAAACATCCAATAATAGAATAACATTAACCAGAGTAAAACCAACAAACTGAACACTGATAAAAACAACAAAGTGACTTCAATGCTGGTAATAGATAAATCATTTATTAAATGATATTTAAATCAAATTTAATATTTATTTACACCCACAGAGCTGGTTTTATGTTTCAGTTGTTCTTCAGCAAACAAACAGACTGTGGGGAGATGTAAAGTCAAATGTGCTGTAATCTGTACAAAACATGTATTTTTATATTTAAAGGGGCAATATCATGTAAAATAAACTTTTTTGAGTTTTATATCATCTTATAATGATATCCTCTCATCAAAAACATGCTCAGAGTTTTGCGTTGACTCATTCATGCTTGTTTGAGAAAGACACACACACCCACATGGCCCTGTGCTGAAATGAGTGGGACAGAAGTGGAAGGTGGTTCTTAAACAGACAGAGGCCAATTTCAAGATGTTTAGAAACTGATATGATGAGAAGTCAAGTTTATTTTCTATTTAAACATATAAACAACATTTTAATAACAACTGAAGGTGACATAGTTATTTTTATAATGTTACAGAATTTAAATRTATGCTTGAGAAACACATAATATTGACCCTTCAATAATTTTCCCCCAGCTCAAAAAGTTATAAATTAAAATAATAAATAAAGTTTATGATTGTTTCTTAAAATTAAAGCTGTGTCAGTTTTAACTTGGCTGCAACCAGCTGGTTCAACATAAAATGACTTACAAGAAAATCAGGAAGCACATGGACTTTTTAGCTACTTCTACTCATGGTTTTCTCTTATGAAACTAAATTATGAAAGAATACATGCCACTTTTTAGTTAGCTTAAAATGAAAGCTTATAAAATATGACTTGTAGCGTTTCCACTAAAATATCTGGTTCTACTCTGGAACTGTGTGACGAGAAAAAAAAGTTTTAGTTTAGCCTTTTACATCATCTCCAGGCATCACTGTTTGAACCATGAACTGTGGAGTTTCACTTATTCAGTTGCTTAATTCATATTGTTACCATGTATATACAGGAGTTAGACAATGTAACTGAAACACCTGTCATTTTAGAGTGGGAGGTTTCATGGCTAAACTGGACCAGCCTGGTGGCCAATCTTCATTAAATGCACATTGCACCAGTAAGAGCAGAGTGTTAAGGTGCAATTAGYAGGGTAAGAGCACAGTTTGGCTCAAAATATTGCAATGCACACAACATTATGGGTGACATACCAGAGTTCAAAAGAGGACAAATTGTTGGTGCACGTCTTGCTGGTGCATCTGTGACCAAGACAGCAAGTGTTTGTGATGTATCAAGAGCCACAGTATCCAGGGTAATGTCAGCATACCACCAAGAAGGTCCAACCACATCCAACAGGATTAACTGTGGACACAAGAGCTGTCTGAAAGGGATATTATGGTCTAAAACCAGCTGTTTCAGTTTCATTGTCTAACCCCTGTAAGTTACAGTACTATCTGCATGTATGAATACAATTATATAGAGTGAGCAGTAATGGTCTAAGCATAGATCCTTGTGGAACACCTGCTGAATCTTGCATGCAGACAACCTGAAACTGACTGTTGGATCAAAGTCAGATGGATTATTTGTTCAAGTGATTGCCTACAAATGATGGGTGATCAGGMAGTTTAGGATCACRTGATATTGTAAATGTTTGATTCATGTTTGTTACAGAATGGCTTCACTCCACTGCACATCGCCTGTAAGAAGAACAGAGTGAAAGTGATGGAACTGCTGGTCAAATATGGAGCCTCTATTGAGGCCATTACAGAGGTGCATTAAACACTATTATGTAAATGTATTTTCAGAATGTAAGTGTTCAGATATTT